TTACATCCCTATAAAAAATCAATTCATAAAGTTTGAAAAGGTTGAAGCGAATTACAAGGATGTTCACAGTGGGCTGCGTTTACATTAATCTCGCAGCATAAAAGCAGATGTGCAAGTACATTTAAACACTTACATTACTCAGCCGAACGCACAAGCGCTCTTCTTTGTGGGCATTTGAGTGTTCGGTTAAAAACTAGCCTAGAGCGCCATCTGCTGTTAAAAACTAAGCTCAGAATCGATTCCAGAGAGAATCACGATGCATTCCGAAAATCTCAGAATCGATAAACTAATCGCAATGCATCGATTTATTGTCCTAGCCCTAATTTCTGGTGCATTCCCTGCTTCCCTCTCATTAACTCTTTCTTTTCTGTTCCAGGCACCCCGGAGGAAAGGGGCATACGCAAGATGAATCGTGGAAACAGCTTATCTAAACGGAACAGAATGGAGTCTTACGACATTCCGTTTGGTATGGACTTCCTGCGGCGCCATCGCATTTTCCAGTACCTCCCAATCAGCCCCACATTCGCTGGCTACCAGTGGAGCGTCCTCACCCACAGCTGCCATGAGCGCCACAACAGGAGAGAGGACGACATGCCAACAAAGCCAGAACTGGGAGAAAGTGGGGTATAGTGTTTAGCACCGGTAGGTTTTTAGATGGTAGTCACAATGCTCCATTCCACCCAGTCAGTGAAATCCGCAGTCCAGTCCTTTACTAAACAGCCAGCTATAAACTCTTTTCATCCCACAATCCTTTAAAAACTCTGTATCCTTTCTGATTGACTCATCAAGTTTGTCATCAATGCTAAAGTTGGTTTCTAGCTGTGAAAACGGCTTCTAAAAACTTTGACAGTGCACTTTTGGCACTGATCTGAAAGTGTCTCCATGACAACAGTGAGTGGATGCAATGCAGGTTGTACTCGTTCATCTCTCTCTGTGTTGGGAGGACATGTGAACAGAGACTGAAAAATCACTTTATATAATCTACTGAATTTCCAATATCAGAGTTCCCTTTTTTTGGCCTGCACTGCTCCATCTGCACAAAGCATCTTTATGTAGATAATTGGATGTTTGAATTTAAACGACGTACTAATGAGTGCTATCACACACTTTCACATTCACAACAGACATTATGCATGGTGCAGTTCCGGATCCCGTTAAAGCAAGAGGATTGTTTAAGGTTTACATAGTGATTCAAGGTTATTGTGCTTTATGTTTGAATTGCATTGCTTGAATTAACGCACAAAATGTAGTTTGCTCGTTCCTAATTTAACTTCTAGAGTCTTGCTTCCAAATCGTTAGTTAGCTGCTATTTCGATTAAAAGCTCATATCGAAAGGGGTGTTTCTTATTAAATACTGTTATTTGCCACCTTGAAATTGTAGTGATTGCACGTTTTGGAGGCAGATAGCTATGCAGTAGGTAAAATTATACGAAAAACTAATGTACTATCAGTACATGGTTTGCAAAAGAAGGAAGACTGGAAGGGAAAAACTTGAGAATTGTTGCACTCAGGCAGTCCCATTGAAAGACGTGGGGAAACATTTTCTTTTGGTCAAAATCGATTGAGCCCTCCTTTGGGCGCCACATTTTTGGTCTGTCTATTGTTTGATATAAGTGACACCTCCTCACTGCTGTTCAAGTGAATGTGGTTTATAATGTAGATTCCCACAAGCACTGCGGATGTGGTTTGTTTTTGAACACAGAGAGGATGGGCGGCATTTAGTGGGCATTTACTGACAGGTTCTCCAACTGTACAAATCCTATTATACTGTATTATCACAATCAATTTCTAATCCTTAGTATTTAGTTATAACTATAAGTTCACATTTCTCATCTTTGGTTTACAGACATTTTATGATCTTTACAGTAACAACCTGTACAATACAAAGCATTTTTTTCAGTTCTTGTTATAGCATTGAAACCAATATTTGACTATTGGACACTCTAATGTCATGGAATGGTGACTTCAGTGGCCCTCTTGATTTAATAGTGTGCAGTTGTGCTTTAACCTCTGTGATAATCTCACTTAGAGCTCCATCTGATGGTTGTATCTTTATTTGAGGCTCATAGTGTATCCACTTCAGATTCAGAGTTTCTTTTGTTGACTTGTAATTTATTTATTTATATGTACTATATCTACTATCCTTTGCTGCCTGTAAGCAGGAAATGGGAGATGCAGCTCTCCACTCTAAGGTTTGATTTGAAATGCTGAAGGTGTGTGTGTGGTGTGTGTTGCAGCTGAGAAATTGCAGTTTTATATTACCAGTCTTGACATTTACAACATAACTGGTGCTTCCTCGGTGAGTCATTCCAACTAACATGTTTGAGATGTTTTTTTTCTCTTTCTAGCTGACCTGTAATACAGCTTGATGTTGGTTTGTTGGATTTGTGTTGTATTAGTCTTTAACCGAAAACCCTAATTATGCAAGGACCATTTCACTTGGTAACACAATGTTACAACTGTTACTTTGTTTTCAGCCTTATTTACACATTTAAAAAAAAAAAACTTCTGTGCATTATAGCAGGAAAGAACACATCGCAGAGTGTTTTTAATGTGTTTGAGAATGTTTAAGTGATAGTGTTTGGGACCTAAAATCCAGATCTGAGTTCTGTATACAAGGCGATACTAATTTACTTACTGCTTCATCAACACTTGGAAAAGTGTGCTGCAGTAATTGAGTAGAATAAGATCTACAGTTCGAATCACTGAGTGTCAAAACACAAATTATGTCGTAAAGAATTCATTACTATAACACTTTGTGTTCCTAAAATAATCTTATTGTAAAACATTCAGCACTCTAAAGTGTGGTATAATGATTGTCTAAGAATCCAAAGTAAATGCAACTGAGAAAGTGTGCAGTTTGCCACTAAATCTTCTCCCATTCACACCGATAGTGCTTGCAGTGGTGTCAGTCCTCATCTCCTTAAACTTTTATCCTTAAATAGTTTATTGAAATGTTATTTGAAACTTATGAAGACCTTTCACATCCTGTGGTGTTTAATTGTCTGTCAGTCATGAAGGTTTCTATGGCAGTGACATGCATAAATATTTGTCAAGTGATGGGGATTACTGAAACAAAATATAGCAAAAGTTGATTTATTGATGCTAAATATAGTTTTTGATATGAGAACATTTTGGAAATACATGCTCTTGTGCTAAATTTCAGGATCCGCTGAGATGTAAAGTTTGTGATGCGGCTTGATAACATGGTGGCATGTGATTCAAAGAAAAACAACCCTTCAGTTATTTTGAAGGGGATATATCTGAAGAATATACTTAGTTTCTCTGAATTGTAATATGTTTTTAATGTTTTATTGTTTTTTTTACACATCATGTTGTGTTTTTACAGACAAGATGTTGGGAAAAAAATGCTTATCTTAAATCATGCTGCAAAGTGCACCAATTTGTTACATTTTTATTTGAGTAAAACAAATTCTCTTTTTTGTTGTCTTTTTTTTTTTTAAATCTGTAGTTTGATTGAATATTTTTGTTAACTAGACTGTTTTCATATTGTATTTTTCTAACATTACTTACTGTTCATGTTAAAAGTAGTACAAAAAAATAGAAAGAGGTGCAATGCATTGAAACTATTATAAATGTATGAATATATATATTGAGGGCAGAATGTGCTATATTCTTGGACCAGCCATTGCAGCTCCTGTAAGTAGAAACAGCAGAAATTGTTTTGTTCCATGTCCCTAAAGATATTTAATAAGATGTATTTGAACATAATGTATTTTGTCTTTTTTGTCTTTTTGTATGTGTGTGTTTGTGTGTGTATCTAGGTTCCCCCCAATTAAACAGTATATATCAGGTATTTAAAAAGGAAATATTATTATATAATAATTATAACTTATTATTATAAATAATAAAAAAAAAAAAATTAAATAATTATTTTAATGATTATTCAAACAAATCACATTACATTGTTGTCTATTCCTGCATCCTTTCACATTTTCAAGTGAACAAAAAGACTTTCTGAATTATAGTCTAGTTACTATGCAAGGTGACAATAAAATATTGGTCTCTTTTCTATCTGATCTGGAAAACTCCAAGTATATCAGGTTACACATATCTGTTCTTCACCTCTGCTTCTCCCCCATCAACCCTGTGTGTGCGTGGGTGCGTGCGTGCATGTGCGTGTGTGGACCGTAACCATCTGAGTTAACATGATTAAGCACACACAACTCAACCAGATTCAGTTAATAGATGCAGTCATAGGGGATGCAGAGAGAAGAAAGTGAAGAGATGCTGTCAACAACACCAGGTCTATTCTTTGTGGTCCCATTTTGAATGGTGGGGTCTACATTATTAATAGAGGAAGCACTGCTTATTTATCAAATGATATGATGAATGATAGACCGACAAGAAGTATCTCATGGTGAAGATGTCTACAAGACAAATCTCTATCACTAAAAAAAAAAAAAAACAATGTTACAAAATGAACAAAGTATGTTGTACTTTTTACTTCAGTAGTTTTAGTTCTTCTTAATCTTGAGCTCCCTAAACTCTTTTACTGCTTTTTAGCCTGTATGAACCCTTTAACTGTGCTCTGGACAGATGGGTAGATCATAGCTGGTAGCCTACCAGATTACAAGAGATTAAAGGATATCGGTCATTCCCAGCTCAGATTTGCTCATTTTCTGACCCGTGACAACCCATGATGATCTAATCCTCACCTTCAGTGTCACTTACCCATTTGATGCCAAATTTTCAGTGAGTGAGCAAATGTGTTTTTACTCATTGAACAGCCATATATATATAT